GCTATTATTCAGTCAAATTACGTAGATTTAAGCAACAAGTCGCAAGATCCAGAAGAATTTTTGTCAGAATCAGAATTATATGAATCGGGTATCGAGCTTGATATTTCTGAAGATAAACCAAAAAATTTTAAGAAACGCAAGCATATAGATGAAGATGTTTATCAAAATTTTGAACAGAAAAACAAAGATAATCCAGCATTTAAACGAATAAAAGGTTTATTTAAAAAATTATAAATTTATTTTTATTATATAAATATATTTATTGTATTAAATTTTTATAAAATAAAATATATTTTATTATGTCTTTACCAAACATTAAACAAATTTATAAAGTTTTATTAAAAGAAAAAACATGTATTAATTTTCTAATCTTAAACAATATTGTTCAAACTCCTTCTCAATGTTCATATTGTGGTGCAGAATTACGTCAAAATAAAAAATTGTTTAGGTGTAAGAATCAAGATTGTCATAAAGCAGTTTCTATCTATAAGGATTCATTCTTTGCTAAACATCATATTATTAGTTCAGACATACTGTTATTAGCATATTTTTGGTTATCAAAAATCAATTATACATCTATCAGTATGATGACACAACATTCGCCCAATACTATCGTAAATTATACAAATTTATTTAGAGATCTGGTGATAAACACGTTAGAAGAGGATGACATGATCATCGGTGGAAAGGATATCATCGTGGAGATTGATGAGAGCAAGTTCAAGAGGAACAAGGATTTTTGGGTGGTTGGTGGAGTGGAAAGAACCAAAGAACAGAAATGCTTCTTTGTTGTTGTTGAGGACAGAAATACAACAACTTTGAGAAGAATCATCAAGAAACACGTGAGACCAGAATCATTTGTGTTCACAGATTCTTGGAAAGGCTATCAACTTGAAGGTTTAAATCTTACTCATAGAAGGGTAAATCATTCGAGAAATGTGTCTGAAACATTTGGAATACATACAAACACAATTGAGGGAACATGGTCAGAACTAAAGACAATAATAGCAGAAAGAAATAGAAATCAAGATAAAATTGAAAAATATTTATTAGAATTTATCTGGCGCAGAAAATATAGAGAGAACATCTGGCAAGCGTTTATTGATATTGTTAAAAATTATTAATTATTTTAATAAAAATTATTATTTTATTCTAAAATGTGTTCCATATTTCACTTAAACTTTTGTCTAACAAATTAATCTTGTCTTTATTTCTTTTCAGATTATATTCTGTAAATTTGATCTTTAGTTTCTTTATTTTATTTTTCAAATCAATAATATCTTTTTTATATTCTTCTATTTCTTTTGTTAGACGTACAATTTCTTGATCTTTGTATTTCGGTGAATAAATAACACATTGCAAATTTTTTTCGTTACATTTAACACAAACATTTGGATTATCTTTCAATTTTACACACTTTCTTCTGTGTTTTCGACACCTCAAACATGATGTGCTCAGTGTTTTTGTTTTCTCAACCATCAGGAAATTTGTTAATTTTTATCAATTTTTTTATAAATAACAGGAATCTGTTCTCTTTTTATTAGAAAATTTAAAATGAATTGGAAATCAAAATTCCCATCGTTCGAACACGCAACAACCTGGGAAAAGATCACGAATTCTGACAAACCAAGGCTCAA